ATCCATTTTTTTTTAAATAAAATGGCTGATCCAATATGACGAAAATTCGTCGTTCGGCTTTAATGGTTTGGGTAAAATTTAGTATTCAGATATTTATGGGGTCCCTGATTCAGAATTTGATATCCATTAAAAAAAACAAAATTGCGGATTTAAAATGACGGACATGCGCCGTAGGTACAAGATGGTTGGATCTATGTGGAGTAGTTACATCATATATGCGCAGTAGTTTTCAGATGGATGGATCAAATGATTTGATCCATTAAAAACTACTGCGCCGATACAGGCTGTTTCTTTTAACTTGAGACAGCTCAATATCTCGAGAAATACGCATTTCACGGAAAAATGTTTTAAATAAAAGGTTAATGTGGTGCTACGGCTAGCCACCCCCTACCCCTCCTTAAGGGTGAAACAGGGGGTAACTTTGGAGAGTCAAATGGGATAACCATTTTTTTACAGATTTTGGTAGTACATAAAAAATAAATAACTTTTATTTGAAACTTTTTTCAATTTATCAACAGATGGCGCTGTAATTCAAAATTTAAGAAAAATGGGTTTCCCTGTAAAATGTATTATTTGAAACGTTTGAAAAACAAAAATGAACATTAAATCAACAATAGTCGGCTCTGAAAACAATTTATAACAAATGTTCTCAATGTCGTCCTTCCATTTCGACACCAGCGAACCTTTGGCGAACGGAATTAAATGATGAAAATTACCGGAATTTTCTAGAAAACGATCTGCCAGACTTCTTCCTGTGGGGTTACTTGAAAGAAAAAGTTTACGCTGCAATTCCTACAACTCGGGAGGACATGGTGGAGCCAGAATTCATTACCCGCATTCAGGGCCGGCGGAAGACCATGGTAGTATAGGTACTACTACCCACTGGAAAAATTCCTGAGTAGGTATATACCCATGGGTGCACTCGGAAAATAAAATAAATGTTACATGAACATTGTTCCGGAATTTATACGATTTCTTCAATTAATAATTACAATTCCAGGATCTTCGTGTTCCAACGAAAGAAGTTTTTCAGTTTTGCGTCGTTTAAAAAATTATTTAAGATCAACAATGGCACAAAATCGACTAAATCACGTAGCAATCTTGCATTCTTACTCTGATTTAGCGGATAAACTCAATTTGGATACACTAATAAATAAAGACGGGATATTTAGGTACTAAAAACTTAAAAATAGGTAACTAAAAAGGTAATAAAAAAAGCATTTTAGGTTAAAAAAACTACATTTTATGTAAAAAAAAACATTAAAAGTTTAAGTTTCGTTTATAAAATAAGTAAAATAAAATATTTTTTTTATAAACTGACCAATAGTTAATTAAAGCTATAAGGAACTGAAAATATAACAGGGAATACCTGATATTTACCAAATTTACTACTAGAGTAACAAACGATAAAGTAACATAAAATAAAACTTTTTATATAACAAAAAGCAAGAAGGAACTAAAAAATATGGAATACCTAATATTTACTCACTATGTAACTTTACTACTTGAGTAACAAATAAGAATCTTTTCTATATTTTGAGAAGAAATTTTCCCTTGAATTTTCTGCTATTTGGCCGAATTTTTCAGATTTTCTTGCGTTCTGCACAGGTTTAATTGACTTTTCATGTTGATATATATGTGCTTTTTACTCAACAGATAGCTAAAATGTATATAAATTAAAGAAAGAAGTTTTAACACAACCTCAAACTCCTTACAATTTTACAGCAAACTCTCCAAAATAAGTTTTTTTCGTCAATACAAAATATCTTATTATTCCCCTATATCCAACTGCTGAGTTTATTTTGAGGATTTTCTTTGGATTTGGGCATTTTTTATAATTTTGTTTAGCCGCATACCCAAACACAGAACATACCCACAATAAACTATTTCTATGCAATAAACTGTGTTTCACTGAGTGACACTCACTACATAGAAGTTCTATGACAGAACATAAGCTCACTACAAAGAAGGTAACTGCAAAGAAAGTTATTGTTACAGTCTGTGACCTAAAGAAAAAATTCTATACCGTTGAGTTGCACGCCGTAAAAATAGGTAACAAATAGGTAAAAAAATTTTTTACTAAAAATAAACTGACAAATTAAAAAATATGTAACAAAAGTATAAAAAGGTAGTTTAAAGCAAAAACCTCAAAAAAGGTAAAAAAGGTGAAAACAAGTTAAAAAACATAAGTATAAAAGAGGTAGTTTAAAGCAAAAACCTCCAAAAAAGGTAAAAAAAGGTGAAAACAAGTTAGGTTCATATAAAAGAAAATGTTTTAAAACACATTTTGGCATTATTGGTTTTCAAATAGTTACATCGGTTGAAAAAAAGGTAAAATAACTAAAATCCCATCCCTACTAATAAATAAAAAAAGAACGGCTGTTTTTGCTATTTTAGATAACAAATAAATATTGTTAATCTACAAAAATGCATTGTTATTTATGACTTTCTTTTGTTACCTTTTAAACCTCCTTATTTTTCAATATATTTTTATAATATTGATTTTTCAAAATGTTAATTGCTCGAAATTAAAGCTGAGTGGGGGACCCCCTTTCTCCGCCTAACTACCCACTCGGGCTAAATGTGTTCTGCCGGCCCTGCCCGCATTCAAAAATGTGTCGAAATGAAAGGATGACATTTTGAACATTTGTTATAAATGGTTTTCAGAGCCGACTATTGTTGATTTAATGTTAATTTTTGTTTTTCAAACGTTTCAAATAATACATTTCACAAGGAAACGCAATTTTCTTAAATTTTGAATTACAGCGCCATCTGTTGATAAATTGAAAAAAGTTTCAAATAAAAGTTATTAATTTTTTTAACTACTACCAAAATCTGTGAAAAAATCGGGTCATTTCATTTGACTTTCTAAAGTTACCCCCCGTTTCACCCTTAAGGAGGGGGAGGGGGGTGGCTAGCAGTAGCACCAAATATTGTCCCCTTTGGTCACATTAATACTAGATGTAACTACTCCACATAGATCCAACCATTTGATTCAAATGCGCAACATTTTCGGCGTAAAAAGTCTTACTTTATTAGTGTGGTCTTGGCACACATTTTTTTTTATTTCCAGTTTAAATTTCTATATAATAGTATATTTTTCAGACTATACTTTTTCTACGTTTCCAAAAAATACCATAAAAAAATAATTTAATTGGAAGAAAGTGAGGTTGGATCGGTCTAAAGTTTGTTAAATATTAAAAACAGAGATGTCGCCACGAGTGTTTATTCTGTCATCCGATGATAGAATATTTCATTCTGTAACACTTTACGGAATATATGTCATTCCATAGATAAAAGTGATATAAGAACGGTCAAATTCCGTAATAGTAGTAGAAAAAAAAATATAAACGAATTCGTATTTCATTCGAAATAATTTTTGTATTCATACTTAGGTACTTTTACCACGAGAGAAACGAGACGAGACGAGAGAAAGTCACTCTCGAGCGAGAAAAGAGTATTCTCGACGAGACGAGAGACCCATTTTCTCTCGCTGCACGAGACGAGACGAGAGAAGGACTTTTCTCGTCTCGTCTCGTCTCGCGGCATCACTAGCAGAACATAAGATTGCGCTGACAAAAGAACCTTGCTCCATCGCCACTTCGCGGGGTGCTTTGCGCAAGCTTATGTTCTGCGATCGGACCCCTGCGACAATTGTAGACCCGGCTTGAAAGAAATAATTTAAAAAAATATAGACTTTCTTGAACTTACTATAGAAGAGTTGGCAAATCTTAAAACAGTCCCCTAACATTTCATTAATTTGGTAAGCATCTAAAGGTTTTATCACAGAACTTTTTATCACTGCAACTAAAATCAGAACGTAAGATAGCCGGGAATTTTTGTTAGGTTAGTTTTAAAAATAAAAAGTTAGTTTAATTTAACTAATTTAGGTAATTATGAACTATGTTACATTAACCGAATTTAAACCAAAACCAAAGAGTTTATAAATTACCGATATATCGGTATAGGTAAATAAAGTAGTTAAATTAAACACAAAAAAATAACCAAATGGTTTAAATTAACTTGCAAATTTAACGTTAATTTAACCAGTTGTATACCTATAGGTACTACTTGGGGTTAATTTGGGTTTTATTAAGTGTCACGATTCTGTAATAATGCAGAGGAAAATTCAATCAGTTTTTTTTCCTTATATCAAAAAACACCTTCGCCCAACTGTGCATAGATACTGAATAAAGGTATATTAGAAAAAACTGAGCAAAATCGAAATTTTAAAAAGTTCAATTTTTCAACAACAAAAATTTGTAATTTAAGCAAAATGGACTTCTTCTTTGTTCTTTTAAGTGAATTTTATCAGCTCAAATTTATCCTTCACGAAAAATGTTGCCAAAAATGTATCAAAACAAAAAGTTGTTGGTTCAGTTTTTGCCGCAGAAACCACAAAAGTTCATCACCAATGGATCGACCAATAAATGGCAAAAATAATCATACCTACTTTTATTTAGAACCGCACATGCAATTGAAAAATTTGACAAGATATTTTATGGCCTAAATTAAAAAAGCTTTTAATGTTTCATTTACATAGAAATTGCGGTGACCGTTTATGCAAAAATATTCAATTTGTACAATACGGCTGAAATGTTTGTAAATGTATTCCAGGTAGGTATTTGGATAAAATTAAATTGAAATATGTATGTCAATAATTAAAAGTTTAAGTTTAAGAAGGAATAATTTTATAATTAAACTTTTCTTTTTACTTTCTTCTTTATCCCAAAAATTAAGCTGTTAAAAGATTGTTGGTAGCAGCTAGGCCCTTTTCATATTGTTTTTCCATGCTTCTCATGTTATAATCTAACATTTGAAAGTTCCAATTTTTAGTTTATAATGCCGTCAAATAGTAAAATCCTGCAAATTGTTTGTTTTCACCGCACACAGCGCCATCTATCAAAGAACCTCCACAGTGTATAACTAAATAAGGGTGGTTTCCAAGGTAATGTTTGTATTCTTGAAACTTTTATGTTCACAACAAATAACCAAAAATTGTGAACGTCAAAATAGTTAATTTTAAGGTAGTTTATTTAAAAAAAATAATAATAATATATTTATATTATGCCAGTTAATAAAGAGAATGATGGAGACAAGAAAAAAATAGAACTTAGATTAAGCGGAGATAAGGTATTTTTTTAACATTAAGAAGGTTAATATTTTTTATACAGGCTGAACATGTTTTTCCCTAAAAATAAAATCGTTTTTTAGTCAAATTTTGGGAATATTCAATATTTAAAGTGCTGCTAAGCAAACAATTGTCCGATTTTATTGATATTTTCAAAATTTTTAGGTTTTCATATTCATTAATTACTTTTATTCTTATAGGGTGATTAAAAAATAAATATTTTTTTTTTACCTTCGACACTGAAAAATTGGTTCTTAGGCACCTATAGGTGCTTACCAAGTTTGAGGAAAATTTGTAGGAAATTAAATCTTCTACAAAAAAGGACTGATTAATTATTCTAACCATTTAAAAGATATTCAAGATTAAAGTTTGAAGAATTAAAAAAAAAATAAATTTTAACATATTGAAAAATAATGACATATTTTTTAGAAAATTTAATGCTCCACAAAAAAGGTCTTATGTGTTTAATTGATTACTCTATCCGTTGAGAAGATATTCGAATCCTAATATCAATGCGTACTGATACGAATATCTTCTCAACGGTTAGAGTAATCAATTAAACACATCAGACCTTTTTTGTAGAGCGTTAAATTTCCTACAAAAATATGTAATACTCATTTGACAATAATTATATTTCAATGAGTTACAAATTTATTATCAAATATTTTAAATAAATTCTTTAAACTTTGATCTTGAGTAATCGCTTAAACACATCAGGGCCTGTAGACTGTAGAAAAAATGAAAAACTGTGATAAGGAGGATCTTCCTATTAATATTAAGAGCCCAAGCAGCATTTTTGGTTCCAAAAACCATTACCAAAGTGGTGATAACTTTAAATTAGTTAAGTATACTAAACAGCTACTTTAATTTTTACTTAAAAGTCATTCTAACTTTTAAATAACAATATTTTGTAACAGAAACTTCATTCTTTCCTTAAATATTTAAAAACCATATGGTTACTATATAGTAATAAACATTTAAGTAAAACTTGTTTTGTACCCAAGAAGACTTTGCAACTTTAAAAAAGGTGTTATAAGTAAACAAAACTTTTAATTAAATTTAATTTGTAGGAGTTACTTTCGGTTGCTACCTAAAGATTGCATTATAATTATTTTTACTTTGTAGTCCCTTTGCAACTTAAAAACTCGAAACTGGAACATGAGTTAAAAACTACAAAGTTAATAACTTAAAAGTTATTATTTTAGTATTTGGAACGTTTATGGTACTATCCAAAATTACCGTAAAGCAAATTAAGGTGGAAAAAAACTTTAAAGTAGCGAAAACTACTAAAAAGGAAAATGCTTCTTATCGGCCATTAAATACTGTACAGTACCACGTGGTAATGTAAATAATACATTATTTTAATTGTTTGAAAATGATTGTTTACTTTTTAATAAATACTAATTTTGTTGGTTATAGACGGTATTAATAATTAAATAAAAAATTGATAATAAATATTAAGATTTTTTTATTTATAAACATTATTAAATAAATAATTTGTTTATACTTAAATATTGATGAAGCGCAATTATTATACAAAAATTAAATTCATAAGTTCAACAGTAAAATTTAAAGGATTTATAAATTTACCTGCCTAATTAAACAATATTTTGTTATTCTAGAAGTTATAAACTATCAGTAAATATTTAATAAACGACGACATTGAAAAGTCAAGTCCGTAGTGGTTCCATTTAAAAAAGGAGGGATAGTATAATCTAATATAAGTTTGAAAAAGACAGTTAATGTAGAAGTAAAAACAAATAAATAAAAGTAATTATAACGCTCTAGCAACGATATTGAAACGTTCTAGTAACGTAGCAGCTACGTTCCAAATATTAGCAGGGTTTATAGCTAGTGACATGTTTGTTACCTTTTTGGAACTCAATAATTGTTCCCCACTTTAGTCGTAACTTAGTAATGAAAGAGTAATATAAAGAGACCGGCGACTGTAGCAAAACACTTTAAAGTTTCTTCAATAGTCCCATTTACGTAACGAATACTTAAATTGTTGCTTGGGAGTACTTTTTAGAGGTGCCTAAGAACAATTTTTTTACTTTTGGAAGTAAAAAAAATATTAGATTTTCACCCTTCTATACATTTTGAAAATTTCATTAAACTCGGACACCGTTGCCCCCCTAAAGTTTTATAAATTTATAGATAAATCTCGAGTATAGACCACCAAGTAGATTAAGTACAGCAAGCTCAAAATGCTCCCTTCTTACAAAATGCTATTCACGGTCTGTTTCTGCAGTTCCCATGCTGAACATTAATCAAGTAAGGATTATAATCAGATTTGGCCCTAAAGTTATATTTTTGACAAATTTTAGGATGACGAAGATATATTTCTGAAAAGTAAGCGTCCATTTTCTGCTGGAGATATTCCAAAAAGAACAAAATATTTTACCAAAGAATATTACGAAAGTAGTTTGGAAAGTTTAGGTACAAGTTTATTCTGTCTTAAACTCATCATACTATAACAAAAAAAATAATATTTTTAGATGAAAATCTCCCTTCAACCAACCTACTGAAAACCCTGCTATCAGAAACAGATAGATGCTGGAGGAAACCTCCAAACTCCATTGAAACAAGTTCCAATACTGATTTTAGACAAAGTAAAGATAATTCGTGTGATGATACAAGCTCCATGTCATCTGAAGACAACTTACAATCAAAAACTCTAACGAGTAAAGTCGTAAATAATGCTTCCACTAGAAGTAAGTTCTTGGTTCTTGATTCGAGTTAAATGAATCAAAACTGTTTATTTTTCAGATGATTTCGTTAAATTGCAACAATTCAACGAAAACTGTACTTTAGAACCAGGCCTGACATCTAAACCACCAATTCCACCAAAAACTGAAATAACGTCTGTTAAATTAAGAGAAGCACCTACAGTACCAACTAAAATGGCTGAAGTTAATTCTGCTGAAACTAAAACTTCGGATGCCATAAGCAACTACCTTACATTAAGGTATAATGTGGATTCTACTAATAAGGATGAGATAGTTGGAACCACTTTAAATTTAAAAAGTAAAAATGAACTACAAAATAAGGAGATACAGGATGATAGGGCACCAGAATCATTCAGAAAGAAGGTAGAATTTAAAATTGATCTTCCACAAGTAAATGATGATGAAGATGGTGCAAAAAAGAATAAACCTTACACAAAATCGTTGGAAGAGTTTATGTTCAACAACTGGTTTAAAGATGAAATAAAACTTGACCCTAATATAAATATAACTGACATGGAGGATGAGTTACCTAATCTATCAGAGATAGACATAGAAGAACTCTTTAAGGATAGCAAGGACAAGAAGTTTGAAAATTTCTTCGCCAAAAAAGATATAGAGGTTACAAAGGCAAAAGTATTGAAAAAAGAACTAAAAAAACCTGTCAAACCCAAATGTCGTTTTCAACCAAAACAAATCAAGCCCAAACCGGACTCAAAAGATGAACACAACAAAGAGATAGAAAGCTGGATGGAGATACGCCCAAACGACATCGAGAGTGCTTTGGAATGTAAAAGGAATGTTAAAAAGGCGAATTTTTTGGATTTTTTGAATAACATCGAGGAACTGGAACAATCTGTTGCACCTGGAGCTGTAGATAACACCCATGATATTCCACAGCATGATACAGATGGTAGTAAAAATGGTAGTTATGATGATTTGGTGTCAATTTTGGAAGCCTTGGAAACAGAGGATAAAAAATCACGTAAGAAATCATGTTTACTATTAAAATTACTCTACCCAACACATCTTTTTAGAGGAAAAAATGAAGTCTGTGAAGAAAATCGTCAACAGTACTTTAAGTTCTCCACCATTCCCTGATAACAATGAAACCACCAATGAAGGTTACACAAAATCTGAAACACATAAAGTTGATGCAAACAATCTTTCAAACGGTAAAATTGTTGATATAACTGACGATGAATCCAACTCAATAGAGACGCTAAATTTACCTAGCGAATCTAAGACTGTACATAAATTAGAAACAGGTTCTGCACGTGGAGTTTATAATTCTAACTTAAAGTAAGTAAAATTTACTTAATAAAATATTAAACAAATATATTATAAATATTCCCCAACACCAAAACAAAACACTAAGTTACACTTCGCTTCTGAAAATGCCAACCTCGTTGGCGAAAAGTACTTTAAGCACTTTGTGTTGGTTTGGTATTGGGGAATATTTCTAATATTTGTTTCATATCACCAAAGTTGTCCTTTTTTAAGTATTAATAAAACATTATTGAAAGTATGTAAATATTTCTAGCAACCTTCTAACGTTTCTTGACGAAGTAGACAAAAATAGTACAAAATCAATTTCTTCAGCATATCCCTTAATGGCTTCCAATGTAACCCACACTTCCATACAATTGAACACAATTCCAAAGTAAGTACTAATACAGTCTCGGCTCAGGCAGAAACTGATTTTTTTTGTATATTACACCTAGGTATCTGAAAGTTATATATTAAATTAAAGTACTCGATAAAGTTCTCGCCATGTTTAAGTGATTTTCACAACCTTCTTTTAAATCAAACTTTACACCATTAGTAGAGTTTTGCACAGAACGAAATGATAGTCTAATGGTTAAAGGTTCGTGCAATATGGTGGATTCATTATTCAGCATTAAAGCTGATAATTTTTCAGTTCCTTAGCAATGACGATAACTTTTTCGAGAATCTTATATTTGCTAAAGCTTTTGAACTACCTACATATAAATAATATTTTTGTATTAGCTTCGAAGACTTGCAAGTTCTAACCAACGAAGAACTTTCCAAGCAAATAATCGATCTAAGTTTGCGTGTTAAAGAAAAAACCTCAGCTGTAACGGTTCTACAATCTGAAATGTCATCTCTCCGCAACCAAATAATAAAAATAACCAAAGACACCGACTTAACAATCAAACAAAAACTTAAATCTCAAAAGGAAGAGTATGAAGATATTATAAAACGCCATCAAAAATTTATAGATCAATTAATAGCTGACAAAAAAACTCTCAACCAACAATGCGAGACCTTGATTCAGGAAATGAAGGCACTGGAAGATAGATTCACATCAAACATGAAAGCAGCCGAGAAGAGACATGAAATCGAATTACAGAAAACGAAAGATATGCACGCAGCTGGAGAGAAAATACGCAGGGATAGATGGGTGGACAATAAAACGCAAAAAATTAAAGAACTCACAGTCAAAAGCTTAGAACCGGAGTTGGCAAGCATGGAGAGGCGCCAACAGCAAGAATTAGCTGACATAAGGGCCTTACACAAGCGAGAAATCGAAGATCTCGAGTTGAAAGCCGCAAGAAAGCTGCAGCATCAGTGCGAGCAGCTGAGAGAGCAGCTTGTGAATGAGCGAGAGAAAGCTTTGGCACATGAAAGGGAAGTGATGAGGGTGCGATACGAGCAAATGGTCGAATCGGAAGAAAAAAGTTATCAGGAGCAGAGAAAACGTCTGATGACAGACCATGCCAACAGGATAGCTGAATGTGAGGAACGTGAAGCTGCAGCCGTCGTGGAAAGAGATAGAGGTATCAAGCTGGCACAGGAAGAGTTTGAAGATAGACTTCAGGTAACTAGTCTACATCTAAACAAATATTAGAAATATTCCCCAACACCAAAACAAAACAGAGTGCTTAAAGTATGCTTAAAGATGCTAACATCGTTGGCGAAAAATACTTCAAGCACTTTGTGTTTTGTTTTGATGTTGGGGAATATTTCTAATATTTGTTTAAAATACCAACAAAATTGTCCTTTTTCAAATATAGTCTAAATCTATTAGATTTTGTTTTTAATCTTCCATTTTAGTTGGTACTAAGAAGACATTCCAACGAACTGAAGCTACTAAAAGAGTCCACTCATTTGGACTTTGAAGCTTGGCAAAACAACTATAAAAAACAACAAGCCCAACTCTTGGACGAAAAAGAACAACTCATAAGAGATCGATGTCGTAAAGATAGGGATAAAGAAATTGAAGCTGTTATTGAACGACTGGAAAATGAAGCCAGTGAAAACAAAATTCAACAGGAGCAATCTACAGAGAATAGGGTCAGAAGACTGAAGGAAAAGTTTGAAAAGGAGATGACAGATTTGGAATCGTCAGAAAAAGAAGCCAAAAGTAAATACATGGAAACAAAAACCAAATTACTAAACACAGAAGATGAGATATTGAATCTAAAATCGACTATAAAAACACTTGAAAATCAGTTGAACGAATCAAAAGAGGTTACAATTTATAAACTGAAACCAGACTATATTTTTTCGAATGTTTTTGAGGCTATAATACATCACAAATTTGATATAACGATTTCTCGAAGAGATGAACAATTTACATTTCTCAAAAACTTTCGGAAAGGTTTAGTGTTTGATATGAATCAATAATTGTACAGGGTGTCCCGGGTTTAATGATCTTAATTTTGCCAGTCGGTAGAGAATCAAAAAACAAAACGAATTTTCAAGGAAAACATGTATCGAAAAATTGAAAATAACTGAGATACAGATCTCCAAAGTTTGAAACTAAAAATCGTTTTTTTCCCATGACTTTTATCCGTTTCACTAATTTGGCTGAAATTTTATGCATATAGTTGGGAAATACTGACTCACGTACTGCTTATAACAATTCTTTTCAAGGCACTCCAGTGGCATAGATATTGAGGGTGTAGGTTTCCTTTTACCGACCTATGTTTACGCCACTGACTTTTTTAAAATACTGACACTATTTTTAAATTCTGTGTTCAATTAGGGAAATAAAGTTACTACGGTAAATGTTTGATAAGACGCTTCGATACAAAAATATTCGAGTTTGAATGTTTGAAAAACATCTCCAGACACCCATGTGTACTACACATTGTGTAGGACATGGAATTCATACCTAGGTACTTGAAAATGGGTAATAAGTGTTCGCTTTACCATAGCATACATTTGAAAATTAATGACATTTCAGTAAACAGTGTTTGTTTGTACTTCAAAAGTTAAAAAGTTATGAGAAAAAAATATTTTTTTATTTAAAAAATTGGGGGTCTGTATCTCAGTTATTTTCAATTTTTCGATACATGTTTTCCTTGGAAATTCGTTTTGTTTTTTGATTCTCTACCGACTGGCAAAATTAGAATCATTAAACCTGGGACAGCCTGTATAGACCGGTTTAATTTTATAATGTAAATATTTATTTTTAGTATACTGAAAAATTATTAAACGAGCGTAACAATTTAAAAGATAAAATCCGTGAGGAAGTCAATCAAGAAGTAGAGTCTCTGCAGAAAGAAGTGGCTACTTTAAAAAATTCCCGAGACAAGGAAATACAACAATTATATTCAAGGTATGTACAGGGTGTATTTTAACTGTGTATATAACTGTATATGTAGGAAATACAACAATTATATTCAAGGTATGTACAGGGTGTATTTTAACTGTGTATATAACTGTATATGTATCTACCTATAAAAAAATCTTAAGCATGTGTTTTTAGGGTAAAAGTTTCAGTTTCTCGTAAAGATGACCTTCTAAACGAGTTAACAATAGAACATAAGGCACTTCAAGAAAAATGCATTTACTTGGAGAATATGTTGGAACAGCAGAGAAAGGAATATTTAATTAAATAAATATATATTTTATTAATTTTGCTAATAGATATATTTAATATTTTTCTTGGTATACTTGGTTTTAAATGTAAGTAAATAAAATGTAATTTGTATAGTTTTGTATTATTTCTGTCCATTATACCCAACCCTTTACTTGGAGAATATGTTGGAACAGCAGAGAAAGGAATATTTAATTAAATAAATATATATTCAATTTTCTTAGTTTCTTTAAGAAACTTTCTTGACCCATCACTGGTAATATTCATAAGAATAAGAAAAAATTGAACCTACACCTCGCCAAATATTCAAAACAAAAATCTTTGGCGAGGTGTAGGTTCAATTTTTTAAATAAATATATATTTTATTAATTTTGCTAATAGATATATTTATTATTTTTCTTGGTATACTTGGTTTTAAATGTAAGTAAATAAAATGTAAGTTGTATAGTTTTGTATTATTTCTGTCCATTAAACCCAACCCTACACTTTGGAACTTCGATTTTACAATGGTACAAAATTCAATGCTTTATAAAAAAAATTGTAATGAAATTAACTTTGGCATCAAAATGCTTGTAAAAAACCGTATTTATTAATGGTTGGCTAATTTACTGACACGATTACTTTTTTTTCTGTTCATTTCATACCGAAAACAAATCGGAACGTATGTGCACCATTACGTTTCCAACAAATTTTGTCGTTTGTCATTGTGCTCAAATTAAAGTCTTGTTGAAACAAAATATATCAAAGTAAAAAATGTATAAGGATTTTACTTGTGTTTTATTTAACACGCTTTTATTTAATAATACATCAGCTTAAAACATGTTTTATAGTCTGATGAAAAAAAAGATTCGTCATTATAATGTGTGCTAATGACTCCTACATATACAGCTTTTAGATATATGTTGGGATTTTAAATAATGTTGCTTCTTTAAATCTTTAGTTGTTTGGTGGAACTGACTAACTTACAAACTGCTGGGCCAGCAAACTCATCTTTTGTCACTCCAGTGGTAAAAGGTTTATTCATCAGTTCAAAATACCAATATACCATCAAACTAACTAAATGCTTTGATATTTTTTAAACCCATTTCATTGCTACCACCGTTATTTTTGGTGCCATTTTGTCTCCAGTTGATAAGAATCCTTATAAATTGGATATAATATATAATAGACCAAATTAAATAAATTAAATTAAATATGGATTCCAATATCATAGTTTTCAACTAACATTAAAAGCTATAGGTACCTAATATAAAAGTATTTATCTAAAATAAATGGTAATGTAATGGATTCATAAGCCATAATAATTATAACTGTATAATTGGGCTTGGAATTAGAAATTACAAAAGGGCATTCTTATCTTTAAATGTTTTATGCTAAAATTGTAACATTATGTTAGTTTTGTTATTAAATTGGATAGTATATTTCTTAATAAGTAAATTAAAGTCATCATATTTTTTAATGGGTTTAGGCGCCAAAGTAGTAAAGCATTTAAAAAATAGAGTAAGACCACATGCTAAATTATAGATTTATCACCAAACTGTTTTGAAGCATTTGCGAAAGGCTATGTAGGACAAGGAGTTTTATTAATGAGTCCACCGTATAGTCCGAACCCTCAGGCAAACATTTGTGTCGATCTCTGAAAAACTCTTTTAATGGTGTTAAGTTGGCTTTGCGAACTTGAAAACGTAAATCGCCCTATCACCTTTAATTCTTCTCATTTGAGTTTTCACTACTAACTCTGATTTCACATTTTTAGCACTAAACACTAATACTTAAAAAATAACAACTCTGTGGGTAAAAGGCATAAGGGGATAAGTCAAAAAAAGGAATTTTTCGGTAGAGACTTAAACGTGTTCGCTTTAATTTAGGAAATATATTTATGGTTAGCGAGTATACCCTTTTGCTAGCATATGACTGTTCTGGCAAAAGGGTATACCCGCTAACCATAAATGTATTTCCTAAATCAATGCGAACACGTTTAAGGCACTGCTAAAAAATACCGCATGCAGGCTGATGCTAAGTATTCAGCAACAGTCTTATTGGCAAAACTATTTTCTTTTATTAAATCCTTTAGATAAGTTAATGTAGCTGGTACTGGGACACTTGGAAAAAGGGAACTAACATCAAATGAAAATAATAACTCACTGTCTTGCAGTGTAACAATTTCTCGATAAACTCAATTTTTTAACTGAAAAACTAGGTTGCTTAACATCGTTGGCGAAAAGTACTTTAAGCACTTTGCGTTTTGTTTTGGTGTTGGGGAATATTTCTAATATTTACCAAACACTTAACTTAAAATGACAATAATAAAAGAAAAGTATCTTTTAGCATTCATGTTAAAATCATGAGAATATAACCACAGAATGTGAACAAAAAATAAATACATTTTCAATTTGTGATGTTTTTAGCTTTTGACTTGTAATTGGAATTTCCATCTATCTAAATATTAAATAAAAATAATATACCAATAAATAATTTTAAACATGGCAATGAGTTATCTGTAATATTTATTAATAATAATATTTATAATATTTCTTAATAAAAATTCCCATTATCAAAGAATTTTATTAGTGTACATGTATCTACATAAATTTATATTTTGTCTATAGGATAAAGGGATTCCCAGAAATTGTATCTTTTCTCGTATAATTTTTCCTTCAACTCAAATCTTTCTCCAAGGTCCAAATACTTCTGGGTGTTTCTCTTATATGGCTCCCATTTTACATGGTTTAGTAAGTGGTGGTTCATAGGTGTTGGATTTCTGTAAAACATTGATAATAAATTATGAATATATATTTTTTTAAACTGATAAATTTATATATATATATATATATATATATATACAGTGTGTCGCATTTAAGATGAAGACACCCCCATATTTTCGCTATTTCAAGGAATAGAGATTTGAATTTTTTCACATTCATACATGTTGGTGGGTCACATTTTTTAAGATACTCAACTGAAATCTGAACTTTAAACTTGGCCTACTACGAATTCACAAACGGGGCCAGTTGTCGATATTTTGCTTCGCGTTAGAAATATCGAAAAAAATTATTAGAAAAAGTTGTTCAGAATATTATTCTAATCCCGTATACCGATTTTCATAGCAAAATTCGCATTTCTAATTTATTTATTTTTATTAGTTTTATTATTGTTTTATACCATTTCCTTAATTTAATAAATTATAATTGATTTGTAATTTCAAAAATTGTTTTAATTATTTATTTAACGGTCATAAACACTAGTTATTACTTTCCATGGATTATTATTATTATATTATTATCAAACTAAAAATGAACTTTTAATAATAATAAAAAAATTAAAAATGCGAATTTTGTTATATGGGGTTAGAATAATATTCTGAACAACTTTTTCCAATAACTTTTTTCGATATCTTTAACGCGAAGCAAAATATCGACAACTGGCCCTGTTTGTGAATTTGTAGTAGGCCAAGTTTAAAGTTCAGATTTCAGTTGAGTAGCTTAAAAAATGTGACCCATCAACATGTATGAATGTGAAAAAATTCAAACCTTTATTCCTTCAAATAGCGAAAATATGGGGGTGTCTTCATCTTAAGTGCGACACACTGTATATATACAGTGTGACCCATTTGTTTGCGACTCACCCCTGTAAAATCTTTATTTATTGTGCGATTTTAACTGGATTTGTTTTAAACTGTAGATCTTAATAAACTGTATTTTTGAAGCAAAAAATGCCATATTTTTACAAAATACAAGGCCTACTATGTCAGTTTTTAAGAGTAAATTTTTAAGAATTCATATTAGCGATTTTTTTAAACAAAATCTAAGCACGGCACTGGATTCACCACCCCTCAAAACTACCCTAAACTAAATTTTATTGAAAAATTTTAAGAAAAAAAATGCACAAAAATAACTACAAAAATTTATTTTGTCAAGTTATCCATGAAAAAAACATTGAAATAAAATTAAACTTATAGTAATAGTACCATGTTAATAATGGCTAATATGAATTCTTAAAAATTTACTCTTAAAAACTGACATAGTAGGCCTTGTATTTTGTTTTAATATGGCGTCTTTTGCTCCAAAAATACACACAGTTTATCAAGATCTACACTTTAATACAAATCCGGTTAAAATCGCACAATAAATAAAGATTTTACAGGGGTGAGTCACAAACAAATGGGTCACACTGTATGTATATATATATATATATATATATATATATATATATATATATATATATTTATATATATTTATAATTATATATACAGGGTGTTTCATAATATATGCGCAGGACTTCAGGATGTGATAACTCATCCAAAAAGATAAAAAAAGTCGCTATTAACTTACGCTCTAAAATGCACAATTTTCGAGATACAGGGTGTTGAAATTTTTGAAAAAAAATCGTTTTTTCGAATATCTCCGGAACCGTTTATCGTACAAAAAACAGCTTTTGTAAGCATTTTCTACTCAAAATAAGCTATGTTTTGTGCCAGGAAAAAATTTTTTTCCCTCATAATTGGTGGAGATTTTGAAGGGCTAGCGGGTGTTTTTCTCCTCAACTTCTACGCCATGAAAAATGTACGGTTTTGAGAGGCCTATTCGAACCGCCAATGTTTTCTACACAAAAAAGGTATACTCTTGGTCATAAGCTCTAAAGTTGACCGTTTTCGAGAAAAATCAACTTTTATGTTTAAAAACATGGTCAATTTAAAAAAAAAAAATTTTTTTTTACTAATTAAACAAAATTTATTTTAACGTTAGAACAAGTAACAAAACCAAACCATAATTGCAAAATAAAAAATGATTCAAAAGTTGTCTTTGCTAAATTCTCCAAACCGTAAAGGTAACGCATTTCGAACATTTCAGCATTTGTGTAAAAAATCATTTTTTTTTTTTTAATTTTGCAATTATCGTTTGGTTTTGTAACTTTTTCTAACGTTAAAATAAATTTTGTTTAATTAGTAATAAAATTTTTTTTTCAAAAAATTGACCATGTTTTTAAACATAAAAGTTGATTTTTCTCGAAAACGGTCAACTTTAGAGCTTATGACCAAGAGTACCTTTTTTGTGTAGAAAACATTGGCCGTTCGAATGGGCCTCTCAAAATCGTACTTTTCTCAGGGGCGTTGAAGTTGAGGAGAAAAACACCCGCTACCCCTTCAAAATCTCCACCAATTATGAGTAAAAAAAATTTTTTTCTGGCACAAAACATAGCTTATTATGAGTAGAAAATGCTTAAAAAAGCTGTTTTTTGTACGACAATTGGTTCCAGAGATAATCGAAAAAAACGATTTTTTTTCTAAAATTTCAACACCCTGTATCTCGAAAATTGTGCATTTTAGAGGGTAAGTTAATAGCAACTTTTTTCATCTTTTTGGATGAGCTATCACATCCTGAAGTCCTGCGCATATATTATGAAACACCCTGTATATATTACCCAGTTTTAGCAAAGTTTTCAAACAGTGTTGTCAATTTTGTTGATACTTTGAACTCTGGATCGGTTGTGTTAAAATATGGAAAAATCGTTGAGATGTAAAACGTATAAATTAGATCGTCATGATGAGCTACACCTAAAAAAAAATATATGTTATTTTAAGATATGTTCGATTTAAAAAGTTATTTATACCTGCTGGAGTATCAGTTCCTGGTATATTAATATGGCTGTACCTCCCTTGGTAGCTGAATCTATAGTGATATACTGGACTTTTTATTGTTTCTGATAACAATTTTGTAATTCTGTTAACACTGTATCCAACCACACCATCAGCAAATATCTTAAATATGATTTAAGTAGAAAAATTATTGTTAATACATCTATTTATTTTATAAACCTCTGAAAGACCTTTAAGCGACAAATTGGAAAGTTTTTTTTCTGGTACATAAAATTCCCTAGCTTTTTTGCTTACAAGTTTAGATTTGTCCGTATTCCTTTCATAGCTGAAGCATATTGGTGCCAATTTTTCCCAATTTTTGTCCAGATCATCCAGCAAAGTACCATTATTAATAATGTCTAAAAAGTTTTTCTATGTTAAAAAAATTTTAATACAAATTAAAACAGTTATATTTATAATATGTATTTTCTGAAGATCAATATACATTTTCAACGTTTAAATTTATTTTCGTGGCACTTTTTTCACTTCAAAACATACATTTAAAACAACTGCTTTTTGCATATATAGGTATTACCAATAGCTTGTCCATGAAATTCATCCTTGGTAACTCCAGTAATAAGCGGTATATCCATAACTTTACCGTCTTTGATTAAATTTAGGGGTTGATCTGGTAGAAATCTTTCCTGCCCAAAATCACCCTCTATAACAGGGGACCATAATAAAATAGGGTTATTGCCGAATTCCTACAAAAATAAAATTTCAAAAAACACCTTTAAACTCGTTTTATAACTCACAAAGAATTGAAACAAAGAATTGCCAAGCTCCTCAGCAGTTTTGGTTTTTAAACACTTAATGATGTTTTCTGAGGTATCATCAGGACACTTTAAAATTTGTGCTTGCTTCTGAGCATATTGCAACTGAGCTTTAGGTAGAGGATATATCCCCAAATAAGACCCACTACTGGCAATTCCCTTATGAAATAACCCTAAAATGTATTTTATATAATTGTGGAATGAATATTTACTTTAAAAAAACTTTAGAACGACAGTTTACCTTTGGACATGGGTGATACCATATGCAAAAGTACGCTCCAAGATCCTGCGCTGTAGCCCATTAGGGTGACGGATTTTGGGTCACCTCCGAAGGCTTCGATATTTTTTTGGACCCATTTCATTGCCACTACTTGGTCTTTAAGACCGTTGTTGCCAGGAGCGAACCTATCGCCAGTTGACATAAATCCTAGGAAAAAGTAAATGTTTTGGATTGTTTTTACATCATTTTTTACTATCAATACGGTAGCCTTTGAACTTGGTTTTAGTTCAATAAAGCATTATTATTATTAGTAACTTTTTCAACCAGCTAAAGAACAAGGAAAACCTAGTCTGGACTATGGATAAAAAACTATCGATTGAAAAGAGTGAAAAATGTGTTTGACGACTTCATATCCGATAGCGAATTTTAATTTACCTAAAGACCCTAATCGGTAGTTCATCGTAATCAATACGATATCCCTGTCCATGAAATACTGCGGTCCGCCCCAATTGCTACGCTCCGTGCCACTGTAAAAACCACCCGAATGTAAATGAATTATTACGGGGCGTTTCGGATTTTTATTCTTGCGTGGTAACTAAAAAAAATAAAAATGAATATACTATTTTTTTCATGATGTGGTAAATAGACTTACCTTGGTTGTGTAGACATTTAAAAACAAACAATCCTCAGATGAAGGGGCTAAAAATGGTGGTTGGGGACAAGTAGGTCCATCAGCTGTTGCATTATAGATTCCTTCATACTTTTGAACAGCTACAGGTGGCTAAAATAAGGCATAACCTACATATCCATATACCAAGTGTCTGTTGAAAAAAAAAATATGTTCATACCTGGAATCTTAAGTCATCAATAGGAGCCTTAGCGTATCTGATACCTCTGAAGGAAAATATGTCTCTACCCAATCTAGTTTGAAACGGTATGGAACCTTCAATTTTACCCATTGGTGTGGTAATAATGGTATTGGCATTTTCTTCTTCTCCACTAATCACTTTGATTATAACAAATAAGGATATAATAAATATTTTAAAATTCATGATGAATTCAAAATATGTAACATTGATATGTAGGTATCTTACTATTCAAATACACAAACGCGATATGCTAAAAAAATAAAAAATCGCATTATTTATAACATTTCGTAAATAAATTTATGCTAGCAGCTCTTTGTATGACCTGGGAATTTTGTTTGCTAATAGTACTAAGAATCAACGCTTCGTTTGTTGTAACTTGATAAGCTTGTTTATTTAAATTCGTATTTTTTCAAGCATGGTCACCTTATTAATATTAATATGAGTATGAGAACGTATGGCTGGCCTCATCGGCATCGCCTTACACTGATCCCCCCGTGTTATTTTTACCATCTTTCAGTTCTCATACGTATCCCGCAACTGCACAGCATTCCCTGTGTTTGATCCTAAGTACAATCCGGAATCCCCCTAAACCACGGGTAATACCCCAATTCAATTGGGGTTCATGAATGGGGCTAGGTTGGTTGGTTCGCTGCTTAGACCTATCCTTGCTGGTCTTGCAGTACTACAAGTTCGTTTTTTTTTCAAACCATTTTTTCTGTCTAGGGTCAAGAATTATCGAAATCGATCGTTTTTGATAGTTGGCAATCTACCGAAAGTTATCGATAGATTATTTTTACCGTTATTTACCTGCACAGGTAGTGGCTCTAATTTCGCACTGTATACACTTAAATTGCCTAACAAAGTTAACTAATGTGTTTACTGTTTCTGTCTTCACCTTATGATGACTCAAGTCGTACTGGCATGGTCCCCTTATTAAAAAAAACTTAAAAATCAAAATGCAAACAAATTTATTAAATACAGAAATCATATACACAATCAGGTCAAGTCTTGTAAGTAGGACATGTTGAGAAAAAAACACTATTAACCAGCAGCTACCTTGTTTTTGGTGTAGTGGGTCAACGGGAATAATTTTTCCCATTCAGCGTATCTTTTCTCGTTCAATTTTTCATTGAGGACGAGTTTATTCGCGATGTCCATGTACTTTTGAGTTTTTTGGTTGAATGGTTCCCATTTTACGTTATCGAGTTTTTCGTGGGGCTCGGGGATTGGATTTCTAAAAGTCCACAGTCAGTTCTACCACATTTGGCGGCCACCTAAGTACTTACCCAGTTTTGGCAAAGTTGGCCCACAACTTGGTCATTTTAAAGACCATTTCGGCATCATTGGGAGTCGTATCCTTAAAGAAGGGGAACAATTTTTCGATGAAGAATAAATACATTAAATCATCGTTGTGCACAACCCCTGGAAAATAAATACAGTTTGCTATAATACACCGTGTTAAAATGCTTTTTTAGTTACCAAAAGGTTCAGTATTATTGCTCTGAGGGGTGTAAAAGTGGCTGTTCCGCCCGCCATAGTTGAATCTGTAGTAATAAACTGATTGGTTGCTTTTCTCGGAAATCAGTTTGGCTGCCCTGTTGACGGAGAATCCAGTGATACCATCCGATAAAATCTAAAATAAAATGTGTTTGTTGGGGAAATATGTGGAACACCTTGTATATTAAACAAATATAAGAAATATTCTAATAAACTGCTCGTCATAAAAACGACGCACCTAGTTTTTTGGAAAATGTTTGAAAGCTCGTTATTGAAAAATTACTGAATTGATTTTAAAAATCTTTGAAAATTCTGAATAGCTGATTCTTTGACTCTTATGTCTAATTTTGGAAATACGATATTTTACACATAGCATTATACTACAGGGTGTTTAACGAAGAAATATTTTTTTTCCGAAATTTCAAGTTATTGCCATTCATAGGGCTGTTGAGTTTGATAGTCGTAATACCTCTCCCCAATATAAGTTACGTAATCCATCTGAACGTTTTTGAGATTTTATGGATATCGTGGCTTACTACGATTATATACCAATTTTTCGAAAATTGTCGTTATTTCCCAGTTTAGTCCAAAAAATGAGCAATAATAATTTTGGAAATACTATGGATTATACTACAGGTTGTTAAACGAAGAAATGTATTTTTCCAAAATTTCAAATCCCCATTCACAGGGCAGTTGAGCTTGATAATCGTTATACCCGTCCCTAATAACAGTTAGGTTATCCCTCGGGACTTTTTCGAGATTTTTTGGATATCTCGGCTAACTACGATTATATGGCAATTTTTCGAAAATTGTCGTTATTCCCCAGTTTAGTCCAAAAAATGAGCAATAGTTGATTCTTTGACTCTTATGTCTAATTTTGGAAAAACGATATTGTGCACATAGCATGATACTACAGGGTGTTAAAAAAAGATGAATTTTTTCCAAAATTTCAAATCCCCATTCACAGGGCAAATGAGCTTGATAGCTTAATACCCCTACTTAATAACAGTTTGGTAATTTCTCGGGACGTTTTCGAGATTTTGAGGATATCTTGGCCAACTACGATTATATGACAATTTTTCGAAAATTCACGTAATTCTCCACTTAAGTCCCAAAAATGAGCTAACTACAAAAGGTATCGATTAGTTATCAAAGTGATTTATTAAAACTGAAATGTTTCACACAAAAGCAATTTAATTCAAAAAACTCAAACCAAACAAAATTATACTCGTAAACTTATGCAGTCTATATTTATGCAATTTTCTACTAACAGTTGATTATGAAAGTTTAAAAAATATGGCGCATATCTGATTTTGAGTTTCCTCCAATTATTCTTGTCTTTTTTTTGGTCCAATATGAAAACATTTTTCAAAAAGCAAAACACATTTAAAAAATTAAAATGACGTATGTAAGGTTGCATACCACGCTAGACGAAGAGTTACCTGACCTCTTTTGCTGCTAGAAGAAGATGGAAACAAGAACATGCAAATTGGGGAATAGCATGCTTACTGATTAATTTAGATTTAACTTACATGCTAGTGATGGACGAATTTTGCGTTTTTATTTTGAATTTCACCGAAAATTAGTTGCTTTTGTGTGAAACATTTTAGTTTTAATAAATCACGCAACGTAAACTGGAAGCAAGTGACCTACCTTAAAACGCTGTGTTGATACCTTCCGTAGTTTGCTTATTTTTCGAAATTAAGTGGAGAATAACGTGAGTTTTCGAAAAATTGCCATATAATCGGAGTTATACAAGATATCCACAAAATCTCGTAAACGTCCCGAGGGATTACCCAACTGTTATTAGGAAGGGGTATTAGGACTATCAAGCTCAACTGCCCTGTGAATGGGGAATTTTAATTTTTTAAAAAACATCTCTTTTTTTAACACCCTATAGTATCATGCGATGTGCACAACATCGTATTTCCAAAATTAGACATAAGAGTCAAAGAATCAACTATTGCTCATTTTTTGGACTACAATGGAAAATAACGACAATTTTCGAAAAATCTCGAAAACGTCCCGAGAGATTACCTAAATGTTATTAGGGAGGGGTATTACGACTATCAAGCTCAACTGCCTTATGAATGAGGATTTGAAATTTTGGAATAAAACATCTCTTTTTTTAACAGCCTGTAGTATAAAGCTATGTGCGCAATATCTTATTTCCAAAATTAGACGTAAGTCAAAGAATCCATTATTGCTCATTTGTTGGACTAAACTGGGGAATAACGACAATTTTCAAAAAATTTGCATATAATCGTAGTTAGCCAAGATATCCACAAAATCTCGAAAACGTTCCGAGGGATTACCTAAATTATATTAGGGAGGGGTATTACGACTATCAAACTCAACTGCCCTATGAATGGGAATATCTTGAAATTTCGAAAAAAATAAATCTCTTCGTTTAACACCCTGTAGCATAATGCTATGTGCAAAATATCGTATTCACAAAATTTAACATAACAGTCAAAGAATCAGCTCTTCAGAATTTTGAAAAATTTTCAAAATCGATTAAGTAATTTTCCAATACGAGCTTTCAAATATTTTCCAAAAAACTAGGTGCGTCGTTTTTTATTACGAGCAGTTTACTTGTTTAACATATAACCAAAGATGTCCTTTTTCAAGTACCTTGCATATTGCTTACCTGGACGGTGCTAGCAACGCTAGTCTTCTCAATAGGTTTATCGTTGTAATAGAATGTTTTTAAAGCTTTGCTTGTAGCTTTAGAGTTATCAGTGCCTCTTTCATAGAGCAACGCAATTGGGGCGACTTTTTCAAAGTTTTCATTCCAATCTTTCCTCAATGTTTCGTTGTTCAAAATACCTTTAAAAAAATATTGTTTATTTTTTCATTTTAAATACTTTAAAGTACTTACGGAAAGCTCTAGCAGCATGTTCCTCTGTTGTAACCCCAGTTAAGAATGGAACTTTAGCGAATTGTCCGTTTTGTATGAGTTGAATTGGATGGGCAGTCAAAAATCTGTCTTTTTGACCAACATCATTTTCAATCACTGGAAGCCATACAGTAAAGGGTTCCTTGGAGAACTCCTATTTAAAATAAATAATTTTTATTGGAACAAATAGTCTTTTGTACCTTACTTTTAGTTGTGGATAGGCATCGCTGATTTCATTATAAGTTTTACCACGTAAACATTTCATGATATTGGAAACAGTATCATCAGGGCATTGAACCAACTTGGCTTGTTTCTTTGCAAGGTCCAATTGGTGACTTGGAACGGGCCAGTTTCCTAAACCTGAACCGCTCATGGCAATGGCTCTATGAAATAGACCTTGCGACATCTGGGACACCATATGTAGAGTTACTGCATCTGCACCAAAATCATAACCCATTAAAGTTACCATGTCTGGGTCACCGCCAAATGCTGCAATGTTATCTTTAACCCATTTCAAGAGAAGAACCTGATCCTTTAGACCGTTGTTACCAGGTGCCTCTTTATCACCAGTACTAAGGAAACCTAAGGTTCCAATACGGTAATTAAAAGTCACCAAAACAACTTCTTGGTCCAAGAGATATTGAGGTCCAAGCCAGTTGCTGGCAGCACCTACAGTTTTGTAACCAGATCCATGGATGTATACTATGACGGGAAGTTTAGGTTTTTCAGCACCTTTTGGTATCTAAGTTAATAAATAATATATTATTTTGTTTAAAAGTGAAATAATAAATGGTTATTACTTTGGCTGAGTAAACGTTAACAAATAAACAATCCTCTGAAATGGGTTGGTCTGTGGGTTGTGGACACAATGGACCATCTATGGTGGCGTTCAAGGTTCCTGTCCATTTTTGTGCAGGAACTGATGGCTGAAATATTTGCAACTTGATACTTTACATCTGCATGAAAAAAATTACTTACTTGGAATCTTAACTCATTAATTGGAGCCTTTGCGTAACGAATTCCTCTGAAGGTATTAATTGGTTTTCCCAACCTGGAAGCGATAATTGTTCCCTCGATTTGACCTAAAGGTGTAGTGACTATCGGGTGTTCAGCATTTCTATTGGCCAAGTTAGAGTCTGGACGGGCTAGGACGAGGCCCACGAAAATTGAAAAAGCAACTAGGTTTAACATTCTGAAAGAGATTCTGAAATTAGTGGATTTCCCAATTTTACTATTTGTGCAACTGGAAAACAAAATAAAATTAAACATTAAAATGAAAATAAAAAAAATCGCTCTACATACCTTCTTTTATTTACATGTCACCTCACACTGCATATGAAAAGTAATAAATCAAATCTGGCTCCATTTTCACTTTATATAGACTCGAATAGCAATTGAATATTGCTCCCGTGTTCGCTAAACTAAATTGGATAATGGAGCCACATTTGGCTCAATTGTTATGCATATATCTCGAATGGAAAATTTCCAAAGCATTTGTTGTTGTAACATCAACAAATTAATGAAATGGGACATGAAAGTTCTAGAAAAACTTAGTACATTTATTGAGTTACTATTTTTCCATTAATAAGTTAATATAGCATATATTATATAGTTAACTATGTTTAGATTATTGAATTCTGTTTGGTTTTGTGTTGGACAAATGGGCATTTTTAATCAAAACTAAAATAATATACTTATTAGTATTTAAAGTCAGAAATTGTCTTTTACCAATCCTAATGACTGAATGAAGTTTAAGTAATAACAAGCTAAAATGATGACTAGTTAACATATTTTTTTTACAGAGAGGAGGTAATCTACCCTGTCAATATTGTAACGTAACATGCAACAATCGTGATATGTAACATTACAGTTACATAACCTGATGGTTGCAAATAGGTTCCTTTTCACGCTTTTTGAAGTAACATTGTTACATAACAATGTTACGTTGTCGTTACATAAATGCATTATAATTTTTATGTTGTTGTTATATAACTTTTTTTACGAATTACAATGTTACATTGCCCTTGTGAAGCATAACGTTCGACACTGTAACGTAACATTAACCAAAATGTTATGCAACATTCGTAATATGTAACATTACAGTTTTATAACCTGATGGTTGCAAATAGGTTCCTATTTTCCGCTTTTTGAAGTAACATTGTTACATAACAATTTTACGTTGTTGTTACATTTTTGAAAATTAAGCCTCACTGTCATAATCTGACAGTGAAATGTACTTGTCGTCCCCTTAAAAAATTTTGCGACATATTAATATATATTTATTTAAAAATATTAATATATTTATTTAAAAATATTATTATATTTATTTAAAAATATTAAATAAATAATTTGACCTCTAAAAAAGTAAAATTGAAAAATTTTGTGGGATAAGTCAGATTAGATTAAAGTTGAAGATAGTTAGGATTATTATATCTACATAAAATTGTTAATTCAGAAATAAAAAATTGGTATACAAATTAATAAATATTTATTCTTAACATAACATAAAATACCTATAGTAAAACTATTTTTGTTATCGAATATTGTTTTAATTTGACAAATAACTATAAAAAAATATTTTGGATTGTGTATTTTACTTAGTATTTAATACTAATTACTAATTAGGTACTTAAGTATACGTAGCTTATGGTATATTTTACTCAGTGATGTAACCGATACATTTTTTTCAGTATCTAGGTACCGATACAGGTACTCTCTGGTAGATGTATCTGGGTACAGATACCGATACATTTTCCCAAAAGTATCTGGGTACAGATACAGATACATTCAATAAGTATCTAAGTTACTTCCAGATACTATGTTAAAAAAACTTTTTGGACCTTATAAACAAGCGTGTTAACTATAAAATAAAACTGTTTTGATAAATTTGACGAAATATCCATGAAAAACGGAAATAAATTTTATATTTACGCGCAATATGAAAGCTTACTACAAAATTTGTAGTACAAATTCAAAATTATCAGAACGAAGAAAAATGCTTTCAAAGCCAACTATAGGTAACCTACAGCGCTTTTGTTTAACTTTACTCACTAGTGCCTAAGAGTTACTTTATGCACTTCGCACTCCAAAGTGGGTTGAAGGGAAAAAGAAATAAAATATTTTTTTATTATTTGTATTGTTTATTATATCCAATGTAGGTATATATCCTGGATATCCATAGAGTATATCCATTGGATGTTCATTTTCCGTGTGGCCCACAAAGTGTGGAGTTGCAATCAGGTTGGGTAAAATAAAATGTATCTAAGGATCTAGATACTTTCAAAAGGATCTAGATACTAAAGTAGATCCTGATTTTTTTAAGTATCTCGATACGTATCTAGGTACATAAAATGTATCTAGATCCAGTATCTAGATACATGTATCTCGATACATTACATCAATGATTTTACTATTATATAGGTAACTGAACTAAATATGCTTAACAGGAATATTCCTAAATGAACTTTCTATAGCAATTACTTTCTTAACATTCTAAGCACATGTTTAGAGTAGACTAATTTTTACCACTAAAACTTTGCACCTTCTAAGAACCTGCCTATAGGCCAGTAAGAATATTCTTAGGATCATGTTATATGTCTTTTAAGCATGTTCTTTAGAAGAAATATAGCATGATCCTAAGAATATTCTCACTGGAAGGTTTTCTATCAGGGCTATTGGTTAACTAGGAACAGTAATAATGTTACTATTATTTTAGGTACACCGAAAAAAATAATGTAGTTGAGTTAACATTTGCCTAAATGTCATTTTTTAAAAATGTTGTTTCAACAAAAAACCTATTGGATTAATCTATATTTTGGTGTTAAAGCAAAAGTCAGAGTTTGTCAAAGTTTATTTGTTCATTTGACAGTTTAAATATTAATTTAACATAAACTAATATTTTGAATTAAAATGTTTATCGTACTTTGATTTAATAGCTGGAATTTGTTGAATCAACTACTGAAATTTTTAGGATTACCTAAAAAAACTATTAAATTAACGTTTAGTTGCTCTTTAATCCAAAACTTTAAATTTGTTCATTTAACAAATTTAAAATGTTACTTTAAAATTTAAAATGTAAAATTTGCATTCATAAAATTGCCGAGAATGGCGCTTCGAACACTCACGCCACGTCATTAGACAATGACGTTTTCTTACATCTCGCCTTAGTTAGCTTACGATTAGGTGTATATAAGATGAGATATATGTTTGTTTAAGGTGTGTTCCACAGTAGAACTTTCACTACACCATATTGCCCGACACTGTTAAGACCCTCAATACAGGGCGAAACAGTCTGTCGGTATTTGAAGTAGGTGGAACACATGATACAAAGATGTATCATGTGTGGAACACGCTCAAAACAAAAACTCTGGGCGAGGTGAAGGTTCAATTCTTTCTATTTATATATAATAATATATTATTTCCATAATTTTGTTTTGGATACCAACCTTTAAAGAATTTTACATTTTCAGAATGTTAATTTAACATTTTATTGGTGTTAAGTGAATATGCTAAAAAGGTTACCTGGACATTTCAAGAAATTTACCTTAACACCCTAAGAATGTTAAATTAACCAAATTAGCAGATTAGAACAAATATTCTTATTTTGTTCATTTGACTGTTATTTGTTGTTCAATTAAACAATACAATTTGACATTTTTAGATGGTTAAGTAAACGTGCAAAAACCATTGCTTGTATTTAAAGTGCATAAAGAGTTGAATTAATATTTTTTTTGTTGTTTCAACAGCTTATTTTTTTCAGTGTAACTGTTGCGTTGCATTTTAGTAACATCGTTACATTGCAATGTTACATAACAGCAATACTGTGTTACTATGACAATGACAATGACAAATAAAAATATTTTTTTACAGAGAGAATAGGAATATATTGCATAACACGTTAGCCGGATTCTTAAGGAATAAGTTACTAAACAAAAATAAAGACAAGCTAAAATAATAACAAGTTACAATGATGACAAGCTAAAACAACGGCTAACTCTAATAATGAATGTTTAAAATGATGACGAGCTTAAATGAATGACAAACTAAAATAAATGACATGCATAAATGATGACAAGCTAAAATGATTTTTACAAATAGAAGGGGGAAGTCTTGCATAAGACGTAGGCTAGATTCTTACAGAATAAGTTACTGAAATAAAATAAAGACAAGCTAAAATAAACACAAGCTAAAATGATGAAAAACTAAAATAAAGACAAGCTAAAATAATGACGAGCTAAAATTATGATAACCTAAAATAATGAAAAGCTAAAATGATAACAAGCTAAAATGAATGACAAGCTAAAATAAATGACATGCCTAAATGATGACAAGCTAAATTAATAATAGGAAATCTAAAATCTTAAATGATGACAAGCTAAAACAAATGATAAGCTAAAATGAATGAAAAACTAAAATAAATGGCATGCCTAAATAAATACAAGCTAAATTAATTATGGGAAATCTAAAATCTTAAATGATGACAAACTAAAATGAATGGCATGCCTGAATAATGACAAGCTAAACTGATGGCGAGCTAAAATAATGAAAAGCTAAAATGATAACAAGATAAAATTAATGACATGCTTAAATAAATGGCAAACTAAAATGATAGACATGCCTAAATGATGACAAGCTAAATTAATGATGTGAAATCTAAAATCTTAAATGATGAAAGCTAAAATGATAAAAAACTAAAATGAAGACCAGCTAAAATAATGACAAGAAATCGGGAATGATTAAAAGGTCTTTTTGTAGTAATTTTAAACAATAAATAGATAATTTGCGAAACTCGGCTTTTTTATTTATTTTTTTTAGTTACTTACTATGGATATTTGTGTATTAAGAGCGCAAAGTTATATATTGTCGCTCTAAATCTTTTTTTAGGGCGTTAAGATTTTTCCATATTTTTATGTTATAAAATACGTTAAAATTTCATACGATTTTCAAAAATTTTGTTTTGCAAATTTTGCAACAAAAATCTGCAAGTTTAACAACGCCTGAGTTAAATATATTCGGGAGTCTTTAAAGCCAAATTTATTAGCAATAGACTAAAAAATTATCTGATTAAGTCTCGCAACTAATGTAACTTAAATTGTTCAAATAGTCCAACGTTATTTTTCAATTTATTTAAATTGCTACTTGGCTACATAATTTTTACAGGACCTATCCTAAAATAGAATGCCATTTCTAAGGCCAGCACCATCTGATATACTACAGCATTTTATTATAAAATTTTGTCAAGGTTAAAAATCGCGACATTTGTTTTGGTGCGTTTTATTGCAAATTAAAGTAATTTTTAGCGGTGTAAGCGGGGTTGCATTGTTTTACTTTGATTACAGTTCTTTATTTTA